TTGATGAAACTTTCACAGAATCTTTTTTATATATTGCCATTGTGCACATCCTATTTTACTTTTTGATTTGACACATACCAGTATTTTGGGTTTCCCACAGCAAAACATGGACACTGCCATTATTTCCATATGGGAGGCGGGGGGTATCATTTAGTGAGCTCATTGCTCACAGTACCTCTAGTTTCTCTAACATTGAAGGAATTTAGGATACCCATTTCTTATCGGCAACTTCTCCTACACTACTGAATAAAATTTAATGTTACTTTCACAGATTTTTTATTACTTGATGTCGTTGTGCACGTTCAATTTTACTTTTTGATCTGACACTTATTTCAGGTCTTCCATGATCAAAACATGGACTTTGTCATTAATATGTTGACGGTGTGACCGTAAGGGTGAGCACAGATAGTTATTCAGTTTTCATTTAGATTGGGCTCGTCAAACCGCACGTGACATTTGGTGCATTTAAGACTCTGACATCATATGACTTCGTATGCATGTTGCTTTACCTAACCAAATCCTGAACAGGGCTGATTTTAATGAAGAACCGTTTCATTGACTATATTTTTCTGCAATAAATTCATTAAATCAAGGCAAGTTTATTGTTCATTTAACTTTTGTAGTAGTTATTCTCGCGAGAGCATTGCTTTAGCTTCTGTGTACAAAGCGATGCATTGTGGGTCCAAATTATTGCTGAAAAAATTCTATCGAATGAATGTGCAGTAGTCTGAATTTTCTCTCCGCCCAGGCATTGTCATTAGAGCTCACAGTGATGAACGTCGCTTTGCAACGCTCGCTGTGCTCACTTTTATCCTGTAGGACACCAGGGTATCATTTTGAGAGCTCATTGCTCACAGTACCTCTTATCACAGATAACTTTAATATACATATCAAATCTTTTGTTATTTTCAGATGGCTATAACATACAGTTGTATAACAAGGGGTACAACAATCTTATGCAGCCATCAGACAGGATCAGGGTCATTTGAGAATGTGGTGCAGTCAATTCTGTCAAATATTCCCACGAGGAATGACGGAAAAACTACCTACCAGTCAGAAAGGTACTTTATAGTATTGATAATCTAAAAGTACATATTGTATTCTGAAATTTTGAAATTATTTTGAAAGTGAACTAAAAATTCAATAATCAAATGAGCATTATTACCGGTAGGTTAATTAAATCACACTATAAAGCCAATCACCAATAAAAAAACATTTGCTAAAACTTGTAAATGAATATAATTCTTGCATGATTGATGTTTGAAATACTAATGGAATGTCCTGTAATATACATTGAATTTTTAGTTTTCTTGCTTTAATAAAAGTGGAACCTTAAAGGGGATGATTTCAATTAGAAGTACATGTACTGAAAACCATTCTTCTGCATTTTGCAACAATACTTTGTGAATTTTGAAATGTGGGGAAAAGCAAACAATAATTTTGATATAGATTAAAGAAAATTTTCAAGAATTCTAAATTTCTTTGTAGAATTGAATTTTATGACATTTTGTGTTTGTTGATCTGAAAATTAATGCATGGAGTATAAGGCCATATAAAATTAATCTTTAATATATCATGTTTTTTATTTTGATAATGGTATTTTAGTATTTTTAAGCAAGAATTTGGGTTAAAGTTTAAGACCTTTGTATTAAAAGTTTCCTATTTATAGCAAAAGAGCCATGTGAAGAATTAAAAATCGGCAATAAAAGTGTTTTTTAAGGAAAAGATGTTTTGTATAGAGAAGGCAGAGAAGAAAAAATAGCAAAAACACATTTTGGCATGAGCAAGTATTTATTAGAGAGGTGTGATAAGAAAAAATAGATGATTTTTTTGTGTGCTGCAAGTTATATATAACGATCTCCAGCTGTGTGTGATTTTGGAAAAAAGAAAAAACAACATCGTATGACAGACTTTAAAGAAGGCCTTTCTTGAGTAGATAATTATTAGAACATTTTTATTAAATGATGCATACACAATTTATTTACACCTCATTGTGTTTTTACCGTGTAATTTGCAATAATTTGTTAACTAACAATAAATATTTAATTTTTAAAGCAAGAATTTTCTTTAAATATCAAAAGAATATGAAAAGAATTTTACATATTTGCATTAACATAATGAAAAAAAAAATATATCGAGGCGTCCATGTTTTGCTGATACGTATAAATTTTAACAATTATAAAAAATGGCCCCCATTTTTTAGCAAATTAGGATGAGAATCTAAAGATTAATTTTACCTGGCCTAATGCATGTTTTGATATATCAAATAATAGTTAGATAAGCCTTGCCTATGGGCTTTGTAGTTTTCTAATTGTTATCAGGGCTGCATTTCATTTCTAGGATTTTCTGTAATTATCAACTTTTCATTTCCGACATTTTTTAGTTTTCATTTCCGATATTTTTTTGTTTGCATTTCTGACATTTTTCAAATACATATGTAGTACCTTTATTAAGAGTTTGAAGACTTTACTTATGAAAAATTTTTAAGGAATAAATCACAAATAAATCATGAAAATCCAATTTCTTAGTGTTGTAAATGTATCAATGACTTGGACATAAGTTTGGTGCTGTCCCTGACATTTTAAAATTTAGTGAACGTTAAGTGTGGTGAAAAAAACAAAACCTTGTGCTACACATATGCATAAATGTATAGACATTTTTTTATCAATATTTGGTATAAATACTTTAAAAATTCCATTTTCACTTACTTAGAAAACATTGAATTGCCACACAGGTAAATTCCGGAAATGAAAAAAAAAATTTGGAAATGAAAACAAAAAATGTCAGAAATGCTATGCATATTTCTGGAAATGAAATGCAGCAGTTATCAGACTTGTTAATTATTTTTTCATGAAATTTTGTTATTTTTACTGTGTTAGAAAAAATTTTTTTGTGTGCTGCAAGTCCTGATTTTGGGAAAAAACAACCTTATGCATACCTTGCTGAGGTAATACTGTTTTTATTAAATGATTCTTTTATGGATTTTTAATTGCAACCAACTTTATGCTAGAAATTCTAGTCTTGAGCATATGAGATGAAAGTTTTACATCATATAGGAATATATCGGAGGAAATTTAAATGTTGGTTTTAAGGAACAGGAGAAGGACTATAACTGGTCATCTTGAAACATAAACATTCCTATGTAAGTTTCCATCATTCCTATTTAATATTAAATTCCTTAAGATTATATAAAGTTTTACATTTAATAAGCTCTTTAGAAAAAGTTTGTCAAAAACAAAACAGGTACATGTAGTCTATAAATCCCAATGGCATGTTTTAATCATAGAAAATTCAGGTTATGATAAGTAAGATTAGGAAGGGACACTTAATTATTTTCATGAAATTGTTTATTAAAATTTCTAAGCAATTCAAAATTTTCATGAATTTTAGTTACTGCTCTTTGTATAATCTTCAGATATGATACACAATCGAATGAAATTTTCTCAAGAATATACTTGTATAGTCTCATGCAATTTCACAAAAATAAATTTCATGCTAATATATTTGATAAGCTTTTCAAGGAGGGTGTATGAATTTTTTATATTCAAATAAGGGATTTATCATTTCATGATGTTATAATAAATACAAGAAACCAAGTGCCTTAAATTCACATAGAGTATCAATTTTCAAAATGTAGTCAAACTTTAATATCTTAAATTCAATGGGACCAAGAAAAATGTGTCAGGTACCTTGGTTAAATTTATTAAGAAGGAGGAGTTGATATTTCCAAATCATTTCAACATATCCTTGGCACTAGAATTCTAGATATTTCAGAGTTTAAAAAGGAGTTTATTTATACTGTTATATCACACTTTTACTTGTAAATTCTATATCTCAGAAACAATTTAAATTAAACCACATTCATACAAAGGATAAATAAAGCGAATGATCTAAATCTACATAATATTTCAGAATTATTTGAAGAATTCAACAAGTATGCAATCTAAACAAGGTGATTTCTTGGTCAATACTAGGAGATATATAGATAGCTCTATGGGTGAACCCTAATATATTCTGAATTTATACGCAACATTTAGTTTTCCTATTATTGCAGTATATCTGGAGGAATTATTATTATTATCTTTTTTTTTATTTCTTACATATACTTTGCTGAATTATAAGTAATATTGTTTATTATACATGTAGTACGGTATATTTTATTCTTTCTTTATCATACTTAACCATTTTATATGATGCTTCTGTGTTTAGTTTTAGAGGAGCTAGGTCATAGATACATGTAGTAGAAAATTCTCTAGTAATAAAGGAATGCAAAGAATTGTATATTATTTCACCACCTACCCTCAGGTTAATTTTCAAATATTCTTTTAATTATACATGTGTATAGATATTCATATCAATTTTCATTTATCAAAAGAAGGGGAGATGACTCCCTAATGATGAACAACACTTTCTGAAGTGTCTGTATGATTTGTAGATTAAGAGGAAGTTCCAGAGTGGTACCCTGTCTATGAGAGCTGTGAGTGCTGGTCACCATGAACTTGACAGTGATTTTGGATTTATTATGGCTCAGGATATGGTAAATATCTAGCTCTTAGGGATGCAGAATAATGTATTGAAAATTTTGGTGATTTGAATTTCCTTGATCTTAAATTTCCAATTAATGTGTCTGGTCCCCTTTGTTTCAATCATTGGAGACTGTATAATACGAGGGTTGTCCCAAAATTCCGTAGACAAGCGTTGTTTTGTAGGAACCCTATGTCATACATTAATGAAACTTCGTATATAGATTAAGCAAACACTACCTAATAAATTTATGGACAAATATAGAGTAACTACACAAATTTTTCATATTTCATAGACACATTTCATTGTCTGGTGTAGGAAGGCGGCGCAATACCCAAAAGTAGCAATTAGAATTTGATATGTTATATTTAAAACCCTACAAAAAAGTAATTACTACCCCATTTTTTTTTAAATGGAAATGAAAATTCTTAATACTGCTTTATTCACTATATATTTCCTCAAATTTTGATGTTTATGCTTTGATAAATATGAAATTTATAAGGTTTTATTTACATGAGGTTGAAATCCGAATTTTTGAAAAATGGCGGCTGCATTGGTCCAGGCGGCGCACTGGACTAGGATCGAGTGATTTGATCCTGAATTCACTCTTACAGAAATGTACCAGTCATAAATGTTTGGTAGACTATGAAATTTTTTATCGTCCTTAGTAATTAAAATGATTTAAACGGTTTCTCTATGCATATGTGAATAACAGTAACTAAATAAAAGACAGGGCTAAGATATGGGCAAGAGTTCCACTGTGCAAATCCATTAGAGAAAACAGACGAAAAGCCCGTAGAAATATTATATAATAGCGTTTTCAAATTATTATTATTTCATACCTGTACATGCATATACTTTGCTTACATATTTTTATGTTTGGTCATATCATAGTAATTAAGATATTTTACATTTATAATAATAACCGTTTCGTTTAATGTAAAAATTTGGTTCTGGTAATTGAAATATTTTCTCCAAAAATTTGAACCGTTGACATTTGTATTTTGTGACGTCGCAGATTGCTCCGGGTGTTAGAGAACTATATCACTTTAAATGTTATTACTCGAAAAGTTTTGAAGTAAACATGATAAAACTTCGTAATTTATCTGCCAAGAACATGCTTTATCCACCCTGAAAATTTTATAAAGATACGTTAATTTCTTTAAAAGATATGAACTCAGTCTACGAAATTTTGAGACAACCCTCGTAGTCACCAGTTAGGTGACTACAGTCACTTTTCTTATTCAAAGTGAGCCTTCAGTACTTGAGTCCATGTGCTATGGTTGTACCAAATGTTCAGTTAAAAGCACCAGAATGTGCACGGTGCCATGTTTTTAGTTAAATCAACTGCCTTCATTTGTGCTAATTTGAAATTAAGTAATAACTTGCCCAATTTATAAAAAATCATTCCTATAGTTGGATTTTCTGTAGGCATTAAACAATAATAATTTTTTAGCCTCCATTCTGAATATGAAAGAATGTTATTAATTTGTAGATCCTTTGTTCATTCTGTCCACCCAGACATTCCATTTCTGGGCTCTATGAAAGATTACAAGAGCTAATGCACTGATAAAATGTCAATCTGTCTGTCTGTAAACATATTTTTCAAAAGGCTACTCTTCCTACAGTTTTGATTTGTTTGTTCATTTAAAATCCCTTCAAGAAATTTTAACTCGTATTGAGACACAGCCCCTTGATGTTGAAAGACTCGAATTAAGATCCATACTTGGCACTTTAGACCTTTGGCAATTAGGTATCTTTTTTGTGCCAGCGCCTACTTTGACATGGGACCTCAGTTTACCCGAATATGGACTCATTCAAAGGATCAGTTTCCATGTCCAGCAGTGGGTTTTGAACCCACGTCGTAAGGATCAACTCCTTACTCCATAACTCTAGAGCAAACGCTCTAACCACTGCGCTACGCAGGAGACGGTTTTGGTTTGATTTCTATTAGATTTATCATACAAGTTTTACTGGTTCTTTGCTAAATTGCTTGTATTATATTAACTTTTTCAATGCCTGTATCTTTCTGTTAACAGGAGAAATTTTCTAAGCCTGGTGCTGGAGATCACGTTAGTGCTTTACGATCTCAGGTGGATGATGTCAAGAATGTGATGACACAAAACATTGAAAGGGTGTTAGACCGGGGAGAGAGACTGGAGAACCTAATAGACAAAACAGAGGAGCTAGAGGCCAGTGTAAGTTAATTATTGAAAAAACAATTAAAAGCAGAATTGCTAGAGGTTGTATAACTTTTTTGCTACAATTATATATTTTTTAATTTTCATAAAAGCTCACTTTATTAATGAACAAATCACAGTGTATGGAAGTTTGTTTCAATTTTCAAATTTGGAAATATCGATATACCAGCTGTCTTTCTTCTTTTATGTGAAATCAGTTGCTCTGTATGTGTATATTCTTGAGTTGAAAGTGATTTGTGGTAAATCCCAGTTTACTAAGTACTCTTTATGTAATGTGTAATGACATATGCTATATTTCATGTGTTATTATAGAGCTGCATAGTAGATTCACATCTAAGTAGATTCAGAATTTGCCGTACAGTTTGATACTAAGCACTGAGAATACCTATACTAAATATCAAAAACAAAGTTTTGTCAAATTTAAATGCAGTTTTGAGGTCAAAAAGGTTTTTGACATTTCGTTTGTCACTGAGAACATTGAATATTGTTAATCTCATGTTGATAAGTGTTTGTTTTCATCATGATAGAAGCAGGGATAATTTTAATGGAGAAATCATCTTTCCAAACCAATGTCTTTTGCAGTCCTCACAGTTTCAGAAGACTGCTAAAAAAATTCGTAAGAAGTACTGGTGGAAGAACACAAAGATGATGATCATCATCGGTGTAGTGGTGTTTGTCATCTTAATAGTCATCGTTATCCTCATCCTTAACGGAACAGGTGTCTTCAAAGGGGATTCCAAGACCACAACAGTGGCTCCCTCTACTGTTAAAAGTATCACATAATGTCATTAATGTGCTTTTATATATGTACAAAAACAAGACTGAAGGAGTTTTTTGTGGTGCTAAATAGTGGACTGAATCAAAATGCTCATGATTTTAATGAAATTTTTATGTCAGTGTAATATTTTGTTTCAATGGTTTAAGTCAACACACAATGGATTTATTTTCCTTTTTTTCCTTTTTATGCAATTGAAAAATCAAAGGTTATGTCAACTTAACATATCTGAAGAATACCTGTCCATCTAAATCAGTTTATTTTTGCTGGCTAAAAAGGTTTTATTTTATCAGATAACCTTTATGAATGAGAATACTTTAGGAGTTTGTAAGATTATTGTATCTTGATAAACCCCTTATTTCATATACATGTAAGTCATAAATAGGGTTTGTTTTGGTTTTTTTGTTTGTTTGCGTAATTGTTCTATGTTCCTTCAAGAATTCTACTCACATATTTAGATACCACCTTCCTGTCAGTGGATGGTTGCATATTTAGTTCGTACATGGCATTTTACAGTCTTTGATCAGTGAGGGATCTTTATAGTGCTGATAACTACTGTGACAAAAAACCTCTTTCTAAACTTTTTTATCCAAAGGACCAGTCCCCATGTCACACAGTGTATTTGAACCTGTGATGTAAGGATCAACTCCTTGCTTCACTGTCTTAGAGTAAATGTTCTAACTGCTGTTCCAAGAGGTTGAAACTTTTTAATTGTCAAATCTGGTAACATTATTCTAGTAGGTCAGGGTTAAAGTTATGTCAAAAAATAAGTATTTAAAAAAATCCTTTATGTACATGTATTTATTTTTTTGGTATTTATTTCCAGTATTCAAATTATCTCTTTTTAAGTCATAGTACAATGTACTATCTATGCTGTATAAATAAAAATCACAAATATCAGTATTGGATTTAGTTTGAAATATACATTTGAGAGTATTGCTTTATGATATGATAACTAGCTGTAAGTAGTTTTCATAATTTGGGGGGGGGGGGGGATGGGGATGTTTGCACAGGGGCATAAAATAGTCTCGTGGTCTGTGACACCCCCCTTGATTTTAGAGTCATGTTGTATACAGTGTATTATGAACACAACATTCGTTCCACCCCTCAAGCTTTATGCATTGTTTCACTTTTTTTGTTGGCAGACATGTATGACACATACTCAAAATGTTTATGTATATATGATATATGTACATGATCCTGATTTTAGCATATATCTGCATGGAGCTATTCCTGTTTTTGAATGTGCTTGAGCCAAGGTCAAGGGTTTTAAATTGGCTTCATTTTTCATTAATCAAATGAAATAAGAAAAATACATAACAAAGCTGTAGGAAATGCCTGGTGATATTTGTACATTGTATTATATTGCATACATTTTTAATTATTGAGATATGATTTTATGGTCCAGAAGCTTTTTATTTCAATAAATGTTGATCAATTTCTTTTTCTTTTTTTCTTTACAAGTAGTAAGATTAGCTATTTTTCATATCATTGATATAATTTCATATACCGGTATTACATTCACCCATGTGCTTTTAAAAATTTGAAAAATGAATCTTGATTTCATGCTGGATATGCATGCAATGAATAGCAGTCTTGAAGACTTTTTGGAATACAGCTAAACATCAGTATCTGAAATACAGATATATATCAAATACAATGTATCGGTCAAAACTATTTTTTCTTAAGTACTAAGTATTTTTTACACTCAATATCTCAAACTTCAGATATCTCAAAGTTTTTACATGGTCCCATTCAATTTGAGATATAATGAGGTTGGATCATGTGAGAGTTTAATCATTTTTGACTAATTATCCTTCTAATGATAAAGGCCATAAGTTTGTGTGAAGTATTTCCTTGTGTTTTGACAATTTGCTGTAATGGAGTATGGTTGCTTTTTACTTTGTGTGTGTGATGTACAGATTGTTGCCAGTTGAACCTGATCACCAATAGTTAAATACTGATATAACACATCTAGCAAAGGAAGCTTGGCAGGCACTGATATTTCTTGTTTTATAAATGATCTTAAAATATGAGCCATATAAATGACCACCATTAGGCTTCGATCCATACATTCCAAGTACTAGTACCATTTGGACCTGTCTTGAAGATTTTCATTTTGTAGGAAATGGGCAAGTATCTTTTTTGTCTGTATTGTTTTAGAGGTTGTTGAAGTCTTTCTTCTTTTCCTCATCTTATACATTTCTACATTTTTCTTTTGTTTATAGATGCGTATGGGAGATGAAGAGTTTAGCTAACCTGCACTTTTTATGCCTGTTCAGACCGTCATTAACATTAATACGTTTGCTGGAGACATGGTTCAAGTTGGTAGCACCATTTTAACCTGGACCCCATCTCTTTGAAATTGTTTTTTTTTTTCTGGTAGGTATAAATCTGATAATTTACATAAGTAAAAAAAATTTTTCTTTTCAGTTTGTACATGATTTTTATGTATTGTTTTTCCTATATATACTCATAAAATATTTTTAAGCACCTATTTTAGATGCAATAATGTACAATGAGAGATAACTCCTTATATTACTACATTGTATTACCTTACTGTGCTGAGTTTCATTAAATCTACTATAAATTCTTTTGAAATTTATAATTCTGTAAAACTTAAGACATTTATATTGTGACATGTATCCTGTGTATGGTATTTTGTGCAAAATTAGTCCCTGCATCCCTCCTCCATTTCTAAGTGTCTGAAAATTCAAAATTAAGACAACATGCATATTACGGTACTCATGCATCTATTTAAATCTTACAGCACAGGGAATATGAATATAATTTTTGTAAGCACAAGTTGCAGTGGTCATCTTTATTTGCAAGCCACAAATTGATAAATCTATAATAACTGAATCTTAAAAGTAAATTTATTAAAATATTAAATAAGCCGAGTATGTTTAGTCATTTATACTTTCACTTTCCTTAAAATATGTCTAAACATTATTCCGTGTTTATTTTAAGACATTATTTAGTGTTTATTTTTATTTTCTGAAAATTTTAAAAGGATTAAATAATTCTTATCTGGGAGAATTTTTTAAAGAACTGCATGAAAATGATAACTGCCATATTCAATCCTAAATGATACCCCTTAAAAGTAAAGAAAGTGAATACTAATAAGTATACACAAAGGAATAAAGAAGAGAATGTTTTGACCTTGGAGGGGGGGGGGGTACTTTAAGAGGGGTTGGAGGGGCCAAAGGGAGCTATGGTATAAAATTTAATTGCAAAAACTCAAAAGCTTCTTGAGATATCCCTGGGAATTGAAAGTTTTAAAATTTACGACCTTGACCTTTGACCTCAAAATGAAGAGGGGTCTTCCTTAGGATATAGGGAAGTTATACTGTAAAATGTCATTGCAAAAACCCAAAGGCTTCTCAAGATATCACACGGAAACTAAAGTGTTAAAACAGAATTTTTGAATTTATGACCTTTGACCTTTTGACCTCAAAATCAAAAGGGATCTTCCATAGGCCAAAGGGAGTTATTTTGTAAGATTTCATTGCACAAGCTCTAAGGCTTCTCGAGATATCGTGAAGAACGAAAGTGTTACAGACATGCAGAACTACAAATGGACGGACAGACAGACTGAAATTACTATCCCCCATTTTCAACGGTAGACAAAAATTCATGTTATACAAGTTATATTGGTTTAATTACCGTATAAGTGGAAATTTTAGCAAGACGCAAATTTAGCGATTTTACCTTAAAAATGGGTATTTTATTTTTAGCGAGGTGTAATTTTAGCGATTTCAAAATACACTTTATAAGATTATCACTAGTTTATAGGTGGGATTTCATGTTTAACCTTTAAAGTAAATAAGAATTAATTTTCCTGCTTTTTGATGAAAAATGTTAATTTTTTAGGACCTGAAAATTACCGAATTCCTTTATACCAAGCTCTTCAAGAGAATGGATATTCATTATGCTTATAAATATAGAATGGAATTTTTCAATTGCTGAACAAAATATCAGGTAAGTGGAAATATTTTACAGGTTATACAGTCAATCTTCGTTTAGTATGAACCCAGAAACGAGTGAATAGCAAAGTTTTCTGAAATCCGTGGCAACATTCATAACAATTCCTTGTAAATTTTTACAGATATTATAAACTTGGATATTGCAAATTTACAGTAATTGCTAACTAGTTGTTGCGGTCAGCCTGGTTCGATCGCTGGTGGCCAGATAGCTCAGTTGGTATAGCACCTGACTGGAGCTCCAGGGGGCCCAGGTTCGAATCCTGGTCTGGTCCGCTGCATTTTCTCCTCTCTCGTTACATAGTTTTTTGTCCCCTAGAAGTTTAAAATAATTAAAATTACATTTGTTATAGAAAATTTTCAATGAGCTAAATTTTTAAAATATTGGTTTTGTTAGTTTTCATAATTGAAATTCAATTCATCTAAATCTTTGTAACTTCAAGATAAATTTTGTATTTTTATGTCCTTAAATACATTTTGTAGACATATATGAATGAACTGGTATATTGCAAATTCCCTATGTACATGTATATACTTTAAGTAAGTAGTTAAGTTAGTTACATGGATATAACGAAATACATATATACCGAAGCAAATTCTCAGTTCACTATATCTGCAGAGTTTTTCTGTGGAAGAAAATCATAAAATTTACAAGAAGATGTGCAAATGTGCTGGTACACACAAAAATTAATAATTGACAAGTTTAAATTTGAGAATTATGCTTCTCAAATAAAAAGGAGGGAATTGTACTTCTGTGTAGGGCACAAAACTGCAAAAGTCATGCTTCTGCATGGGACACAAAACTGCTAGAATCATGCTTCTGAATGGGACACAAAACTGTAAGAACCGTGTTTCTGCATGGGACACAAAACTGCAAGAATCTTGCTTCTGCATTGGGCACAAAACTGCAAGAATCATGCTTCTGCATGGGGCACAAAACTGCAAGAATCATGCTTCTGCATGGGGCACAAAACTGCTAGAATCTGCTTCTGCATGGGGCACAAAACTGCAAGAATCATGCTTCTGCATGGGTCACAAAACTGCTAGAATCGTGTTTCTGCATGTGGCACAAAACTGCAAGAATCATGCTTCTGCATGTGGCTCAAACTGCAAGAATTGTGCTTCTGCATGGGCATAAAACTGCTGGAATCATGCTTCTGCATGGGGCACAAAACTGCAAGAAATATGCTTCTGCATGGGCCACAAAACCGGAAAAATTATGCTTCATTGTGACCTGCAATATATACATGTACCTATATTTTGTATTTTATAGAGTTAGGTAAGCATTATGGACCAATGTAACTTGAACTTTAAAGAAGTGTATCTGTATATGTTTGTTTAATTAGTAACAACATACTCTAAACAATCTCTCTTGAAATGATTAAATCCTTGCAAAATAGTGATAATATCAATGTCAACATATCTGTTCGGTCTTTAAACAACTAATAACAAGCTTTTCTTTCCATTTAAACCTCCAAGAAATAACCAGTCTTATAAGTAATTGGAACAGAAGCAAGTTAAGTTTTTGTTTGTAAAGCACCATTGCTTGTCATACAGTGAACAGTGATCATATTTGACCTTTAGAGAATTCAATGAAAATATTAGATACAATATACTTGTCACTTGTCCTTTGTTGTTGAATGATAGAGAATCCCCAGTGTTTATTCCATAATTAGTAAAATACTAATGATTATATTGGAATTAATTATTGGCCAGTGTTTGATGGTTTATCAGACAGAATTGGATTATACATTAGAAATATTGGTCTGAGAGCCTGCAATTTGTTGTAATGACTTATTGAATCAAATTTAAATAGACTGAAGTTCATTTTTTAATCCCAGAAGTTATTTTAAAATTAAATCCCTTCAACGACCTGATAAGCACATTTCTTTTTACATTTTCGATTCACTTTAATTAGTTTAATTAACAATTTATTAATAGATTTCCTTATAATTTTCCTTAATATCCTATTTATTTAAAGTGAATTATTAGATAAAGTCATTCCTAACCAGCCCTGTACGGAGATAACATTTTCTGCACACATGATCAGGGGGTTTGAAGTTTCCATCAATGTGTTGAGGCATTATCAAGTATAATATGACAAAGATCGACCATTGTTTGACAACCTCCTAGGCCCGATAAATTTGTTGCAAACAAAAGTAAATATGCTAGCCGAGGTTTCGGCCTCAGGTGTTTCTATTGAATTGAGGTTCGTACAGGTAAAAAAAAATCTGTTGGCGGACAGTGCACATTAAGCTACCGGGTGTAATGCTAATATACAGTTTTCTTTTGTATTGATTGCCACAAGATGTACTTCAATTACATAGACTTTGTAGCAGTGTGTTTAAGTGATAAGTTAAATATTAAACTTTAAACAAAAATCAATACAGATCCAGAAACACAATGTCCCCACTTTTTGGCTGGGCTCCAGAGAAATCGCACCGAATGATTTTAATATC